AATAAAACCTTTGGTCAAAATAGATGTCCATTTCATAAAAATTTAAATGGAAATGTGTTCTGTTCAAATTCTCAGAGTGTAAGAAGTCGTGAATAAAGATTTATAATGAATTCACATTGAGTTTGATTCATATATAAATGTCTGCATGCATCTTCAAGACAAAGCATCAAATTCTAGCAAAACTAATGCAGTCTGCCAGACCAAAACAAACGGAGACAAGACACATGTAAAACAGAGACAAGACACAAACAAGACAAGCCATCGCCGAAGTACAGATCTATCAAGCTAATTTTTAATATATCAGGCATCTTTCTTTTTCGCGAAACGTAAGAAATGCACTTACTGCAGAACTATTCTGTTAAAAAGCTCACTCGCAGAATTTCAATGAATGTATTACACAGCATCATTCTTTCTTCAATATTGATTTCTGTATTGTCTCTGTTTCCTTGTTTGTTATGAACAAGAAATTGGAAACACCATTTCTTTGGTTTGTTTGAAACATAACTCTGGTTCGTTGGTCATGGACAAACGAGTCACAGACATATGTGTCATTTTAATACAGGTGTATTGTTCTATTACAGCAGCAAAAATTATATGAACAAACGTGTGCAAGTAATCAAAATTACATTAAGACAAATACTTAATAATAAATATAAAATTACAATGGTTAATCTCTCATAATATTTTTTGGGGGTGGTAGTGGTGACGTTACTCATCAAAGAAAAAAGTTTAAAAACCCATCAGCATGAGTCAGTATGCAAAATGTTTCGTACATGGAATTTCCTTAATTTTCATAAAGAGTTTTTCAAAACAGAAAAGGAAGTAGAATGACTATTTTAAGCACAGGCGTTTTAATGGTTGTCATAGCTCTTTATATAAAAAACTGACAATAATTTGTAAAAAACTACTTGAAAACTTTTGCAACAATCATCTAGATACCCTTACAATAATAATCACACACACACACACACACACACACACACACACACACACACACACACACACACACACTTCTCTTCCACGATATTTTCTCAGAACACCTTTCACCCATACAGCCTTTGCACGTGGTGTAGCCTTCTGTGGTTGACATGAAGAGCCGTTAGCATTATCCGCATATTTCAACAAGTTATTTTGTGTGGATATTGATATCATTTGTTGTCAATCAAAAACAAATTATGATAGAATTTCCTAAGCTAACCATATTTTGACCTTCGATTGAATTTTGCCAACAGCTGGGGAACAGTAGCTTTACAATCATATAATCTTTCGGATTGTCATACGCGTATGTTTCCACTTCCCAGTCAGCATATTAGTGTTCAGTATACACACATCATGTCAAAAGATTTCTATTAAAAACCTTACTTAGTTATGAAATAAATGTATTTTCAAAATTTATTTTATTAATTCTAGTAGACATTTATCAAAAGACATGAAGTCCTTCTCTTTGGAAATTTCGAATTTGATGGGCGGCTATCCTTTATAAATGAGATTCCGATTCTATATTTGGCTTGGCTGACTTCTGTCACATAGTATTGAGTTTGTCTGCGCATGTGTGTTTTTGCTTATATCCATCTAATGTTAAATTGTGTTATGAATGTGAAATCATTTTGTCTTCTGAATTTTTTTTTGTCATTTTGTGTTCTGAATTTCTATATATTTTTTGCATTGTGAATAAGTATATTGGATCTAAATTAGTAACGTGTAATCTTTAACATATGCTGCACGTTTCAGTAAAATGTTAAACGCGGTATCCTTTTCTTTGTTTCTGCGAAAATGTAAAGAATATATGTCGATAGAGACAGAATGGATGTTTCAAAATTTTACAAGGATAATTGCTCCTTTAAAAAATATAAAATGTCCCCCAATTTAAACTTAATTCATGACTAAGTATTATATTAATGAAATGAATATTTTAGATTTAATTGAGACAATAGCTTAGTTAAATAAATACACAAAACCAAACACCAGGTTTGTTTGGAGTTGATAGTACGAAAGTCTTTATTATGGTATCGGGAGAATACATTGAGATAGTCAGTTTGAGACTTAGTCATACGCCACGTCGAGCGAGTTATCTGCCTTATTCATAACAGAACATGTATACAGTAATGTATTGATTACACGCCCCATTTTCTAGCGCTTTCTAAACATATTTAACAGTCTAATATGAATGGAGTCCAAAAACGTAAATTATAATTTATAGAATTTCGATTCCGTGCATAGAAAAATATTGACATATTGACACGAGGACTTCAAAAAATACACCTTAATAGTTGTAGAATGAGTGGGTTTTACGGAAATACGGATTGAACAATCGCAGATAGACCAGGTAAGGTTGAAGTGTTATATCCAACAAGGCTTTTGGGGCTAGCGTCCTGACAATCTTCAAACATTCAAAAGTAAATTAGAAATATGAGTCATCATATTCTAGAATCATTTATATATGTGGATGTGGGTGCGTTTTAGGCTACACGACCTCTCGCGATGACATCAAAATGTTTGCAATCTGTCACATTTTCTTTCAATTGGCTATTGAATTCTTTTGTTTCTAAAAACAAGCGGCAGAATATTGGTCGGTGAAGTCATAAGAGTGTTGTTTTTCATGGTTATTCTGAATAACTGCTTTGTAAAAATACTGCGAAGTTTTAACGACAAAATATGGCAACAGGTTTTTAGTGTATTATTATCCATGATGATTTGCATCTGTGGCAAAAAAAAATAATTATGCCTCAAATGATTTTTTTTTCAAGTCAACTTCCAGCTAAACATCAACATTAATGAATAATTGAGAAATTCAGGCCATCAAGCACTAATTATTGAATCAATAACTGTCATAACATATATTGAAATCTTATACATGGATGAAAAATCGGTACTTTTATCCAGCGTACAATAATGTGATACAGATTGTAAAAAATTGTTTCCGGTTTTCAATTTCTAGCATATTTTAGTATTGCTGAAAACATCATTTAAGCAGAGAATACAAATGTCTAAACATATGAAAACCAAATAAATAAAAAAAAAACAGTATTTTTAAATTTATAAAGTCGTGATTTTGAATGCGTGTTCAGGCGAATAACGAGAACGTGACGCAGTTCGATTTATATGTTAGAGCATGTTTAATTCGTAGTTTAATGAGATTCGAACCGGGTCAGCAAGATAAAACGACTTTGCCTGCAAGCACCAACCCCCATATATATATATATATATATATATATATATATATATATATATATATATATATATATATATATATATATATATATATATATATGGGGGGTTTGCTATGATATTGTTATACATGTGTAAACTCTGCGTGTGTGTAATTTAGATTTTTAATGTAGCTTTAACAATTTTTCAGTCAAATCGCTATGATGTCTGCAGCGTGACAGTTTATAGTGATGTCTTTCACAGTTGCAACATGCCGCAGACACATTCACGTTATCCTGACACCAGGCCGATCAGTAATAATACTAACCTCTTAATGCTGATCGTAAAACAATCTTTGGTATGATTGCCGAGGCGGACTATGTAACCACTGGGCCACGAGAGCGGTCATATTTAAACTGTCAGTTGCCGACTCACAAATCTTACAGAACTCCGATGGGGCATTATGTAAGTTGTTTGAGTCGGCAACTGATAAACACGGAAAAATAATGTTAAACTCCTATAATTGCAATTCTTTTTATAATTTTGATCATATTTCATTGTTTTTTTAAAGATATTTCCTAACCATTTTAGAGCTTTGTTTGTTTAAAGAATAGGAGTTCTTTCTTGTTGAGGGCGACAACTACGTAGCTATTCATAGAACGGAGAGTCTCCATTCGCAACGTAATAGCTACTTTAACATCAAATGATTCTATTATTGGTAGGTGATCTAAGGTTTTGAACATTCCACAGTATGTTCTTAATCTTTGATCAAAATTGGCATAGGTGGTCTGAGTAGAAGTTCAATATTCAAAGCAAAGAAGGTGTTGTATTGATTGATATTCGAATGACTCTTGGATTTGATATTGTCATGATTTCATTATGACTTGACCGAATCATTGTTGTCCAGTCACGCAAGTAACCAATTTTCGTTTCTTTAAATCTATTTTCTTGTTCATTAACAATTTAGGCGACGTAGATGGACTACTTACAAATGAAATGAAAATTATGGGAAAATGGTTATAGTGATGGGGGTCCAATAGTCAAATAGTGAGAGACCTCGACCTTGACTGTTATGGTGGCTGAATAGCAGGAATTTTTTTTTACTCACCCAAACCCACATCGTGGGACCGCGAATGCAAATATTATAATGTTGGTCATCAAACCTCTCTCCTTTCAATCCATATAACCATTTGCCATTGGTTTAAAATTCATTTGTAAAGTAATGCGTCGAAAGCACCACATAGCCCCAAAGTTCTTCTTGGCAGATTTTGAAGTTCATACTTTTTGTCAAATCTAATCAAAGAAAGAATTATTTATCTTCAGAAAAAGTATAAAGATTTGTTATCTGATTATGTCAAATCAATTTATTAAATTTTCAAAATTGAATATAAACTAACGGTCTTTTTTATTAAGTTCTAAAGGCATGCAGTGTATGCCTTCCGATTAGTCTTTGCATTAGTTACTTTGCACATGACTTTATTTATAGAACTAAAAAGTAGTTCTCCATACAGTAAATACAGAAAAAATGCAACTGGGATTGATCACATGGGTATGTTCTGATCAATGGAAATCTTTCCTACATTTATCGAATAATCCGACTGCAATTAATTATTTTCCACAGTTTATATACAGATACTTGGAACACATATTCAGCTGTTTTCTGTGATTCAATTCTGACAATATTGTATTAAATTATTAAAGAATAAAATTGTTGCTTGTGAAGCATTAGCTGTGCTTAACTTATTTTATGCAGCGCTAGTTATTCATTTGTTCTTTGATTTAATATATTTGCCTTGCGACATATTGAGTGATGCATTGCATCATAGTAGTATATCATTATACTTTTGTTAATTGACCATTCCGGTGGCCTAGTTGTTAAAGCGTCCGCCTCAGATGCGGGAGGACGCGAGTTCGAACTCCGGCTGAGTCATGTCAAAGACTTATAAAGATGGTACTAACAGCTGCCGGGTTAGGCGTTCAGCATCAAGAGGTTAGTGCTAGGACTGGTCGATCTGGTGTCAGGATAATGTGGATGGACTGGGTGGGACATCAGGCTACATGTCTGTGGCATGATGCCCCAGTGCTAGTCATTGCCATAAACTGCCACATTGCAGACATCGTAGCGATATGACTGCAAAAATAGTTTAAAAAAAGTTAAAAAATCCAAATCACACACACACACTTTTGAAAATTCATATTAAATTCTTAAGGATAAAATAAATCACTCTTAAGATGTGACATGTTCATATAATAAATAAGACCTTAGAGTTAGACCCCCCACTCACATACGCACAGTTTTCAATAGACTGTGAAAGAAGTTGCAAGAAACTTTGATATTGGAATAAAACTTAAAATCAAGGTGTGCTTAACTGTAGAATAATGTATGGTCTTTGTGTAAGAAGTACATAATTCCAACATCTTCAAAGAAAATACATAAAAACAGCACAAAAAGATTAACGGAAGATTCAGTCACTTTAAGCTTATTTCGAGCTCTTTCAAGCAAACATCTTAAAATATAATATTCTTCCTTACTATCTAATCATGACATTTAACTTTATAATTAAAATCCATCAACTCTAGTAACGCTATAAAAATGAAAATGACAACTGAATTAATAGGGACATATTTGAAAATCTTTATCCGGTCTGGAGTGAATTTCACCAAATATAAATTACCTTGAACAAAGCAAGGAGTGGTCTAAATTAATCTGGTTAGAAAGCCACGTTGACCAAAATAGCCATTAATCTTAACGTATGTCAATATGTATTCTCCAGATTATTGTTTCCCTTTTCCATTAGATTACAATGATCATTTCAGATCGTTAATTAGATGAGCAGCTTGCGTGTAAATATTCATAGGGAATGCGATACTCGCCAGGGGGCCTGAATCTATAAGCAGTAATTGAAAACGTTTTATTTTCGGTAGAAATTTGAACTTCAGTTAATGTGTACTTAGTAAAACAGTCTATGGAGTGGATTTAAAAATTAGCTATGAGAGAGAGAGAGAGAGAGAGAGAGAGAGAGAGAGAGAGAGAGAGAGAGAGAGAGAGAGAGAGAGAGAGAGAGAGAGAGAGAGACTAACATTGGTTCGATTCAGACACATTTGGTTGACTGATTGATCGATGTAAATGTTAAGAAAAGCAAACACATTATCAGTAAGATAGAGTAACTTAATATGACTCCTTCTTAAGGTTTTGATTTGAAACACTGCAAAAATCTAGTTTTGTTCCCTCAGCACTGCTATCGTAGAGATTATAAACAGGATAATTAGGTCAAGATGTTTTTTATTTATTAACTCACACAAGGCACATGAGTCTGTAGTTTTATTAATAAGTCAGGACGAAATTTCTGACAACATGAAACCACCTGAACAGTATTATAAATTAACACAAAGAAAGCAAGCGTGACCACAACCATCCGCTCGATTCGACTTTTCTCAAACGTCTTTTACCCCTTCAGAAAACTACGAAGAGTGAAAAGCTACACATATCCATTCAAAAAACAGTATAACGCACCACTCTCGGACGACCATCGCATGACTCCATTCCTGCGAATTAACCTTTTTTTCACCATTACGGTCACGAAGCCTGAAAAGGCAAACATTGCTGTTTGTAGCAAATTTCTACCACGGACTAAATAACGTCATAAAACTAATTTTACAAGATAAAATGTTTAACTTGTTTGGTTTCTTTTTTTTCAGATTGCTTCATTTAATAATTTTTGTATACATTTCCAGAACAGAAATATGTAGTTAAAGTTCTGATAGTACAAAAAAAAAACGGTTGATGACGTAATCACATTCAAATATTAGAACCCAGACGTATTAAATTTCCCTAGTTTTAAAAGAAAAAAAGATTCTGCGCTGTGTTCGGAACGATTATTAGATCCTAACGCCTATTTACTCAGGGTAGAAACTGAAAATAAAAGTTAATTCGCCAGATTGGATTCATGCGATGGTCGTCTGAGAATGACGCGTTAGTACTTTACTATTTTTTTGAATAGATATGTGTCTTTTTTCAGTCTTCGTGCGATTCTGAAGGGATAAAAAACGCGATAAAAGTCGATTTGATTTTATGTCAGAAATTTCGTTAAGCTTTATTGATAAAACTGCAGACTCATGTGCACAGTTAAGTACTGAATTTCGAACTCACCGGTGACCGGAGGTGGTGGGACCAGTGCCTTAAAGCGCTCATTTTACCTATCACTGGCATCTCACCTCTGTGCACATCAGTACGAGTTTTGTTCTTGTTGGTGTGTGGCTTAACGCCAGTTTTCAACACAGGATAGGCTATAATTGACGGCCAGTATAACTGGTGGAGGATGAACCCTTGAAAAAGTCCAGAAAGAACCTATGATCCACGTGATGCAACTGGCAAGCTTTCTCACGTGCCCATGCTGGCCGAGCCCGAGCCCGAGCCCGAGCCCGAGCCCGAGCCCGAGACACGAACCCAACATGGGTGAGACGGCAGTGATCCCTAATAGAGAGCGCTTTAGACCATTGGTCCCCAACCTTTTTATCGCCGTGGACCAGTCAACGTTTGATAATTTTACCGCTAAGGGAAGGGAGGCTTGATTGTTTATATTTTAGATTGTTTTAATATAATAATTTTAATTTAATTGTATTTAAACATGCTTTCAAAATAAATGCAGTTACACCAAAAAATGAATATAAAGTGATTTAAAAATTTAACTCACTTAAACGCTCAATCAATGAGAACCCTGAACTTGTTTCTTTGCAATGAGACGGTTCCATCTGGGGGTAATATGAGACAATGTGTGTTGCTTATGTCCAGTTTATTCAGTTGTTTTGTTTTGGCTGCTTTCGCTGCAGAAAACCCGCTTCACACAGATACGATGTCGGAAATGGCAATAGGGATTTAAGTGCGGTGGTAACTATCTCAGGGTATTCCGTCATGACTTTAATCCAGAACACCGGCAGAGTTGTCTCGAACGTAGTTTTAAGGCTGCCGTCATTTGTAATCTCCAACAGTTGATCTTCTTCTTGCACAGACATGCTAGATTCGCCAGGTTTGTTAACAAATGGGTCGCGGATCCTTTCCTCACCACTTCGTGGTCTGTTGTGCTTGGGAAGTAGCGCTCGAACTCTTTTAAAAGCAAAGACAGGTGATCGTGTACCAACTGACAGAATGAATGCTCAGACTCAGTCTCGCCTAAAATCTCCGCTAATGTCTGAAACATGTCCAAAATACCAGTATTCACGCGCCGTCTCCACAACTCCAGTTTGGCTTTAAATGCAGCTACTTTGTGTGCAAACTGGAAACGGGTTGTCATTTTCCGAAGGGACAGATTGAGTTCATTGAGCAGGCTGAATATGTCACACAGGTAAGCTAGTTTTGCGACCCATACCTTGTCACTGAAATGTGCTGCCAGAGTTGACATTTTTTCTGAGAGAAATCTTTGCAATGGCTCTCGTTATTCAAATATTCTGGTTAGAAATTTTCCTCTGAATAACCATCTTATTTCTGTGTACAAGAGAAGGCATCTGTGCTCTGCGTCCATCTCCTCACAAAGCTGCTGATACAGGCGCAAGTTAAGGACGTGTGCTTTGATATGGTTATTAACTTTAACGACATCAATCAATACGCTGTTAAATTCCGGTGACACTTTTCGGCTTGCCAGCATTTACATGTGAATAATACAATGCGTAGTTTCATTGTCATGTGCAACTTTCTTAATCCAAGCAGTGAATCCAGACAGTCTTCCAGTCCTGGTAGCACCTCGGTCTGTGCATATGCCGACACAAAAGGATCATTTTAGTTGTCCTGATATAACCATCCAGTGACAGTTCTGCTCCTGTGGTGTTGGTTGGCAAAGATAGTGCAAATAACAAATCCTCATGCACATCATCCTGATATAGATATCGCATATAAACAAGTAGTATTGCCTTGTCGATATCTGTAGATTCGTCAACCTGGAGTGTGTATGTAGATAATGTATTAATCCTCTCCAACAATTGTGTCTCAATGTCTTGGGCTATTTCCTCAATTCGCCTAGTCGCAGTGCTAGCCGACAAAGGCACATGTGCTATCTTTTCCACAGCAGCCTCTTCTAGAAGTTCACGGCAAATGTCTTTAGTAGCAGGATCAATTCTTCACCGATAGTGAATGGTTATTTAGCCTTAGCAATACGGTTAGCCATCAAATATGATGCTCTCAGTGCATTCTCCTTTATTGATGTCGAAGACCTCAAATATTTATTCTGTCCTTCGTGTTACCGTTTTTTGTTGTCTTCAAAATAAGCCAGGGGCTTGTCTTTTAATCCAGGGTGTTTGGCATTCAAGTGGCGAAGGTTTCATTGCTTCATTAGAGAGCTGGTCGCCACAAACTATGCAGAGCAGGGTTGGTGTGTGTGAATCACCAGTCCGGATAAATCCATATTTCAAGAAGGACTCATGGTATTGTCTGCTAAAATTTTTATGTTTCTTTGATATTGAAAGCTCATCGTATGTCTCTTCACTGGGTCTTTTCTTTTTCCCCAAGGAAACTTTCTAACGATGTCTGTTTCCTACTCATTTTTGCTAATTTGTGAGTTAAATTTGAGCAAACACAATATACACTTACACCAAGCACTCTTTAACAAGTACCGGTGAACAGAGAGAAGAGTGATATACACCTCTCCATCAAAGCCGCTTATCTCCAGACGTGACCTAAAACCGCCCCGATATCAAGATATTTTGCGCATGCACGGTATTGGTGCGGCTTTAGGTGACGTCTCTCAGCTCCTGGTTAATCTCTCGTCCATGGCAAGTCCCACAAACCCGAGAGAAATACACCACACTAAATAAAATGGAAATAATTTAATGTTCCTTGGGCGGCCCGGTACCATTTGATCCACGGTCCGGTACCGGTCCGTGGCCCGTGGGTTGGGGACCACTGTAGACCACTCGGCTTTTTGGGGCCAGCAGTTTCAG